TAACACAGACATACCTGCAAAGTCCCTTTTGTCATATAAGAGAACATTCCAAGTTCTCAGGATCAGAACCTGGATGTCTCTGGGCCTGGAGACATTATTCAGCTGGTCACAGGGGGTTACGGTTTCAACACCAAGACAGTGGTTGAGTCTGCCCTGGCTCATGTGGCCAGTGGCCAGAGCTGGTTTTTCCTCCTGTGAGCAACTTTCAAGGGACCTCTGTAAACCAAAACCAAAATCCTAAGCCTCTCAACGATCTGAATGGGCTCCTTCTCTCGGCAAGAGCATTCCAAAGTTAACCTGAAAATGAGTTCAGGACATGATGGGAAGGGGAAGCTGGACATGCCTCATTGTAACCTCCTCACTCTTGGAATTACTGATAGAGCAGACTCTACATCTGATAAGAAACATTTACACTCTATTCTCTCTGAAGCCAGCTACCTGGAGGCTTCATCTGCACAATAAAACCTCGGTCTCCACAACTCTTTATTGATTTATTTTTTTTGAGATGGAGTTTTGCTCTTGTTGCCCAGGATGGAGTGCAATGGCATGATCTTGGCTCTCTACAACCTCTGTCTCCTGGGTTCAAGTGATTCTCCTGTCTCAGCTGGGATCACATGCATACACTAGCATGCCCAGCTAATTTCTTTTTTTTTTTTTTTTTTTGAGATTGAGTTTTCTTGTTACCTGGGCTGGAGTACAGTGGTGCAATCTTGGCTCACTACAACTTCCGCCTCCCAGGGTAAAGTGATTCTCCTGTCTCAGCCTCCTGAGTAGCTGGGGTTACAAGCACCCACCACCACACCCAGCTAATTTTTGTATTTTGTATCCCAAAGTTCTGGGATTACAGCATGAGCCACCATGCCTGGCCCAAGCCTCCAGCTTCTAATGGCTCCTCATTCTAGGCCCCAGCGTCTGCCTCATTTGGGATGCTGCACTCCTCAAGGGTCCTCTCAGTCAAGTCTCATTTGTGGGGTCATCTCTGATCTTGTGGAATCGGGGCAGATTTATCCTCTAACAAAGCTTTGCTGCTCACCTCACTCCATTCCCTGGGCTCACAGTACAGTAGGTGGCCCAGGCTCCCAGCTCTGGCTTGAGCCACCCTGGGCGTTGAGTCCTCCGGGTTGAGGCCATGCGGTGAAGGAGTTGTAGGCATGGTTTGGCTCTCGGGCCTGTCTAGATTTGAACCCCAGCCCTGACATCTACCAACTGTTGGTCAATTACCTCTTTGTAAAGTACTTGGCAGGGAACAAATACTTCTAAAACACATAAAAATAAACCAGCCGTCTGTCCCACCAGCCCCAGGGGACACAAGTTCAGCTTCATAAGGGGAAGTCCTCCTCCCCTCATGTGGCTGGAAGCACCTCAAAACTGAGGTGGGGGCAGATCCCCACCCCTCCATTGCATCATTCTGAGGCTTTGAAACCTCAGCTGCGTTCAAGCCGGGAAGAGCCGCCTTATAACATCCTGTCACCCTTGGGGTTGGGGGCAGCCAGAAGGCAGGGGTCTCTGAGTATAGGGCAGCACGGAGGAGCCCTGGAATGGGGCTGGGTGAGGTCAGGGCCAGCTCCATCCTGCCTGGTTGGCTCAGGGACTCCAGAGAACTGGGGGGCAGCTGTCATCCTTCCTTCTTTCCACTCAACTTTTTTTTAAAGAGACAGGATTTCACCATGTTGCCCAGGCTGCTCTCAAACTCCTGACCTCAGGCAATCTGCCTGCCTTGGCCTCCCAAAGTGCTGGGATTACAGACAGGCACTTTTTGGGGGTGGGGACAGAGTCTTACTTTGTCTCCCAGGCTGGAGTGCAATGGTGTGATCTCGGCTCACTAAGACCTCCATCTCCCAGGTTCAAGCAATTCTCCTGCCTTAGCCTCCCAAGTAGCTGGGATTAGAGGTGCACACCATAACGCCCAGCTAATTTTTATTTTCAGTAGAGATGAGGTTTCACCATGTTGGCCAGGCTGGTCTCGAACTCCTGACCTCAGGTGATCTGCCCACCTCGGGCTCCCAAAGTGCTAGGATTACAGAGGTGAGCCACTGCGCCTGGCCTCAACTTTATTTTTTAAACCTTTTGTTTCAAGATAACTGGATATTCATGTATATCTCCTCCACTCTTTTTTTTTTTTTTTTTTTTTGAGACAGAGTCTTGCTCTGTCATCCAGGATGGAGTACAGTGGTGTGATCTTGGCTCACTGCCACCTCTGCCTCCTGGATTCAAGCGCTCTCACATCTCAGCCTCCCAAGTAGCTGGTATTACAGGTGCCCACCACCATGCCCAGCTAAGTTTTTGTATTTTTAGTAGAGACAGAGTTTTGCCATGTTGGCCAAGCTGGTCTCCAACTCCTGACTTCAAGTGATCTGCCTGCCTAGGCCTCCGGGTGTGCTGGGATTACAGGCATGCAGCTGTCATCTCCCTTTATTCCCCTCGGCTACAGGCATGAGCTACCACACCTGGCCCATCTTCTTGACTTTCCATATAGAAAAACTTCAAACCTTCAGAAAAGCTGTAAGAGCGGTACAATGCCACCATATTCCCTTCACCTGCATTCAACAGTTCATGTTTGATTTTTTTTTTTTTCTAGACATGGTCTTATTCTGTTGCCCAGGCTGGAGTGCAGTGGTGCTATCTCAGCTCACTGCAACCTCCACCTCCCGGGTTCAAGTGATCTCCCATTTTAGCCTCCTAAGTAGCTGGGACTACACGTGCACACCACCACACCTGGCTAATTTTGTTTCTGGTAGAAATGGGGTTTTGCCTAGCACTTCACATTTGATTCATTCATAGTTCTCAATCTATTATTGATATCTACATAGAGACATGGACATGAATATAGAAATGCAAAGATGCTCTGTCCACTAGAAAACATATTTCTGGCTGGGCACGGTGGCTCATGCCTATAATACCAGCACTTTCGGAGGCTGAGGCAGGAGGATCACAAGGTCAGGAGATCGAGACCATCCTGGCCAACATGGTGAAACCCCGCCTCTACTAAAAATACAAAAATTAACTGGACATGGTGGCTGGTACCTGTAATCCCAACTACTAGGGAGGCTGAAGCAGGGGAATCGCTTGAACCCAGGAGGCAGAGGTTACAGTGAGCGAGATTATGCCACTGCACTCTAGCCTGGTAACAGAGCAAGACTTCATCTCAAAAAAAAAGAAAATATATTTCTAAGAATTCATGTTATATATGTGTGTTTAAACATACACACACATACCTACATACGTATAACATTTCTTCCCAGCTCTGTCTGCGAGAGGGACTGGAAGCCATGGCAAGGCAGTAGTAGTGAGCTCACCTCACACCCTGATCAATCTGAGTTCCAGAATCCCATATGATGCTACACATCCTATCCTCTCCCTCCTCGGAGAGATGACTGATTCCAGGAATGGAGCAGAAAACATTCCAGGTGAGTCTTGAACATAGTATTGGCCAGAAGGTCAGGCCATGTTCATAGAATGACATGGCAGTGTGGAAAGGATGAGGAGCCAGCTTGAAGGAGACCCTACCAGCTTAATCAGGGGCATTTTGAGCACCAAAATAAATGTGATAGTATTGGATTATAATCCACTGGCTAAAATATGAAGCTGTGAGTCCATATTGATATAAATGAAGGAAGAAAACTTTTTTACAGAAAAAAATGTGACTTCACACAGATTGACCCAATGTCCATGCAACAGCACAGGGCTTGTCCTGGTTTTCCTTCCCTGTCAGAGTCTCCCTTCTTCCCAGGGCAAACCCTGGTTCCAAACGACAGAGCTGTGCCTGTCCACTTGTGCTCTATCCTGCAACACTTTCAAAACAATTTCAGAATTGCCACACTGACGCCACTGCCCATAACAAACCCACTACGGAAAGGTAGAGATTTATTTACAATTCTTTCTTTCTTTTTTGAGAAGGAGTCTTCCTCTGTCACCCAGGCTGGAGAGCAACGACACAATCTTGGCTCATTGCAATCTCTGTCTCCCAGTTTCAAGCGATTCTCATGCCTCAGCCTCCTGAGTAGCTGGAATTACAGACACACGCCACCACGCCTGGCTAATTTTTTGTATTTTATTTATTTACTTATTTTAGAGACTGGGCCTCGCTATGTTGCCCAGGCTGCCGTGCAGTGGCTGTTCACAGACGCAATCCCACTACTGACCTGCTCCGTTTCCAACCTGGGCCGGTTCACCCCTCCTTAGGCAACCTGGTGGCCCCCACTCCCAGAAGGTCACCATATTGATGCCGAACTTAGTGCGGACACCTGATCGGCATAGTGCACCACAGCCCAGAACTCCTGGGCTCAAGAGATCTTCCAGCCTCAGCCTCCCGAGTAGCTGGGACTACAGGCACACGCCACCACGCCCGGCAATTTTCTGTATTTTTAGTAGAGATGGGGCTTCACCATGTTGGTCCAGCTGGTCTTGAACTCCTGACCTCCAGTGATTCCCCCTGGCTCGGCCTCCCAAAGTGCTGGGATTACAGGTATGAGCCATCGCACCCGGCCTACAATTCTTCTTGACCTTAGGATTTAAGTCTTGCCTAAGGTGCCCAGTGTTTAAACCAGAAAAAGTACATTTTGAGCTGGGCTTTGGTGGATGAATAGGAGTCTACTGGGTAGAAAGAGGAAAACACCAGGCAGAGGAACTGCATATAGAAAAGTCCAGGGTTGAAATGAGAGTGTGGAATGGCCCCTTGCAGTGGCTGAAGCCCAGGGTTTGTTTAGAGTGAAGGAGATGACAAAGGATGAGAATGGGGGCTGTTTGTAGGGGCAGATGGAGGTGGTGGCTCACAAGGGCCTTGAGTGCCAGGGACTAGGGCATTACAAGAGGCACCAGGGTTTAGGAAAAGATGGAGGGTCATTGGCAAATTGGTGAATTGGGGGCCAGTATCTGGTGCCATGAGACTCAGAGCCTGAGCCAGCAGGACGGCTTTACCAGTCCTCCAGATGCCTCCGTTTTACAGATGACAGAATGTGGGCACAAGGGGGCCCCACTCCCAGAGCTTCAGGGAGACTCCCCCGGCACCATTCCTGGCACCTGGGGGCTGAGGTGGGGACCGAGCTGGCTCACAAGCCTCTGTTCTGTGACATGTCTCTGTTTCCTGTTTCTCCCCCATCAGGGGCAGTTTCAGTCTCAACTTCAAAAGAACAAACACGCACTCAAAACAAAGGAAGACGGTCCTCGACTGCAGAGGAAGCAGGAAGCTGTCGGCCTAGCTCTGAGCCCAGCTGCTGGAGCCCAGAGCAGCGACATGGAGTCCGTGGCCCTGTACAGCTTTCAGGCCACAGAGAGCGACGAGCTGGCCTTCAACAAGGGAGACACACTCAAGGTAGGGGGGCTGGAGCCAGCTGAGTTGGCCCCACATGGGTGGGCGTGGATTTAGGCACTGAGGCCTGGGACCATCCCAAGCAGACGGTGGTCACTGGGAGACAGGCCCAGCCTCTCCAGTTATTGGCTGTGTGACTCTGGACAAGCCACCTCCTCCCTCGGAGCCTCAGTCTCTCCATCTGGGAAATGGGGAGATAACTAATGGCCCTCCTTTGGGGCTACTGTGAGGATTCAGTGAGATATTGCCGCAGTGTCTGGCTGGAGTTAGTTCAACCCCCAGCTTCCCAGGAAAATGTTTGAAAAGAAAATTGTTGAGAAAGGGAGAGAATGAGAGCTAGAGAGAGAGGCAGACAGAATGTGGGAATGAAGGACAGAGGGAGAAAGAGGGAGGAGAGTTCTTAGGAAAGAAGTACACACGTTCACCTAGTAGGGCTAAAACAGCTACGATGAAAGCGTCAAGGATGAGCTTCCCAGGAGTGTAGAGAAAAGGGAAAATAGAGTCATACTGCAGTTCATTTCTCCTTGTCTGGGCTGCTTTTGACAGATATTGCAGCCTTCCAAGACGGTCTAGACAGATGGGCCTGTGGAATCTGTCTCTGGAAATGTCCTTGTTTAAGGTTTGCATGTGAAAGCCAGGCCCAGGATTCTGGGACTGGCCATGCCAAGTCTTCTGCACTGGAGTTACCACTAAACCACACTAAGGAAGTCGCTGCCCTTCCCTGGGCCTCAGGTCTCCCCGCTGGAGCAATGGGTGTCACACTGGATGCCCCTCCATGCTGAGCCCTGGGCACTGCTCTTGGCCACAGCTTCAAGCACATCACGCCGTTATAGCCAGGCCCTGAACTCAGCAGCATGCCCCACGTCCCATTTAAGCAATGGGAACTGACACCCCCATTTCACAGGTGACTAAACTGAAGCACAGGGAGGCGACATGAACTGCTTGGTATGGAGTCAGTTTTGAAGCTGTGCGTCTTTGACTAGAACCTGCGCTTGGTCTGCGCTGGGCTGGGGGTTGGGGTCCAGAGGAGAAGGAGCAATTCCTCCTTCTCTATGTTGGGGTGCTGGCACCTGGTGTCACTGCAGAGCTAGCTGTGGGCCTCATGGACATGTGGCGAGATGGGGACAGGGCCAGGCTGAGCACCGGGGCTGTGAGCCCAGGCGTGGCCCTCTGCAGAGGTCCAAGTCTTGGTTTCTCATCTGAGAGCACCTTGAGGTCTCTAGACCCAGGTTTGGTGTTGGGAGGGAGCAGGGCGCACAGCGGGCACGGAGCCAGGCTTAGAGGGATCAGGTGGCCGGGGTGAAGGCTGAGCTCCGTGAACATCCTGTCCTCTTGTCCAGTGCTCCCTGTGGGTTATCCCCTGCCGCTCCACCACCTGCCTGCCGAGCAAGTCCAGCCTGGAGGAGTGGGCAGTGAAGCCCATTCTTCAAATCTCAACCTTGGTCTTGGTTGAAAACTCGGTGACTCATAGACTCACTCCGGACAAATGGCCCCAAAAATCACCTCCCTGGGGCAAAACCTCCCTCCCTGATGGGCCAGGTGTTTCTGGGTGCACTGCATGCCCCTGCAGTGGCCAGCTGGAGGGACATGTGGGTGGTGGCTTCACTGCCATCTCCCCAGGAGCAGCCTGGATACTGAGACCCAGACTTAGGAAACCCTTGTCACCTTGACCTCCTTGGGAAAGGGCGAGGGTCCAGACCCAGCTCAGCCAGCCGGGGCTCCTGCACCTGCTTTCTGCAGCTCCTCATTTTCTTGTCGGCAACTCTGGCAAAGCCCAGCTGAAGCCCCTCCTCTGGCCCAGGCCTCCATTGTCACTCACCTGGCCTTGAGCAGTGGCCATGACTCAGAGCCTGGCCCTCCCCTGTGCATCTCACACCTGCTCCTCCTCCCGCGGCTCCACACAGCCTGGCCTCCTTCCTGTTTCAGGAACACGGCTTGCTCCACCTCAGGGCCCTGGCACTGGTTTTTCCCTCTGACTGGGACACTGTTCCCTACGCTTGCTTTCTTTCTCTTTCTCTTTCTTTTTTTCTTTCTCTCTCTCCCTTCCTTCCTCCCTCCCTCCCTTCCTTCCTTCCTTCCTTCCTTCCTCCCTTCCTTCCTTTCTTCCTTCCTTTTCTCTCTCTCTCTCTCTTTCTTTCTCAGAGTCTTACTCTGTTGCCAGGCTGGAGTGCAGTGGTGTGATATCGGCTGACTGCAACCTCCACCTCCTGGGTTCAAGGGATTCCCCTGCCTCAGCCTCCCGAGCAGCTGGGACTACAAGCACCCCCCACCACGCATGGCTAGTTTTTTTGTATTTTAGTGGAGATGGGGTTTCACCATGCTGGCCAGGATGGTCTCTATCGCCTGATCTCATGATCTGCCCTCCTCAGCCTCCCAAAATGCTGGGATTACAGGCGTGAGCCACTGCACCCAGCCGTTCCCCACATTTTCTTACCACTGGTTCCTTCTTGTAATTTGGGTCTCAGCTCCCATGTCACCTCTTCAGAGAGGCCTTTCTGGACCACCCCACCTGTCCCGTGTGGACACTCTCCCCGCTCCCACCCAGCCATTCTCCATCTGTCACCTGATGTGCATTTCTCACAGCACTCACGGCTACATTAAACTACCTGGACTACTTGTTTCTTCCCTTGTTTGTGGTCTGTCTCTGCCCGCTGGAATGTGAGTTCCTTGTTCCCTGCTCTGTTGTGGGGTGCCTGGCACACAGTGGGTGCTGTCAAGCAGCAACTGCACTGGGTGAAGTGGGACGGCAGGGCCAAGGCTCGGGGCAAGCCAAGGGCTGCCTTTCACCTTGAGCAGTGGTGCTCCTCCAGAGTTGGCCTCCCTCCCCTGTGAGAATTCCCGGGTCTCAGAGGGTCTGGGGCTTTTGAAAAATGTTCACAGTAAGAAATCAGCTCATGTGAGGTAAAGAGATTAAGACCAGCCTGGCCAGCATGGTGAAACCCTGTCTCTACTGAAAATACAAAAATTAGCCGGGTGTGGTGGCATGCGCCTGTAGTCCCAGCTACTTGGGAGGCTGCGGTGGGAGAATCGCTTGAACCCGGGAGGCAGAGATTGCAGTGAGTTGAGGTCACACCACTGCACTCCAACCTGGCGACAAAGCGAGACTCCATCACAAAAAAAAAAAAAAAGAAAAAAAAAAAAAAGAAATCAGCTAATGTAACCAATGGGACATTCCTGGGTCCTCTGAGTGCAGATGACAAGGAGATAAAATGAAGCAGGGATTGCATGAGGTATATTCCATGCCATGTCCACACCGCTGCATGCAGGCCAGGCCATAAATGCGCCCATTGGATAGATGAGGACACTGAGGCCAAGGCACAGAGTCAGAAGCAGCCAGAATGTTCTGGAGCCCCAGGCTCCCGGGCATCCTCCTGGAATCCATGGCTGTGGCATGTGGCCTGCTGGCCCTCATTTTCTCCTTAGACTGGGGGAGTTGTTTCCTTTTGTTTGGTTTTGTTGAGATAGAGTCTCACTCTGTTGCCCAGTCTGGAGTGCAGTGGTGTGATGTCAGCTCACAGCCTCCACCTGCTGGGTTCAAGTGATTCTAAGAAGCTGAGATTATAGGCTGCTCCACCATACCTGGCTAATTTTTTGTATTTTTAGTAGATGGGGTTTCACCATGTTTGCAAGGCTAGTCTCAAATTCCTGACCTCAGGTGGTCCGTCCTCCTTGGCCTCTCAAAGTCCTGGATTATAGTCATGAGCCACCGTGCATGGCCTGTTTTGTTTTGCGTTGAGTGAAAGTTTCCCTGAGTCAGCCACCTGCTTCCGTTCGCCCCTGGGGTTGCTGACCTGGCCCAGGCTGCAGGGGCAGGAAGGAAGGGGCCGAGCCAGCCTAGCCTGGCGGACAGAGCAGGGGCAGGGATGGGGTTGCAGCGGCCACCTGTGAGGGTGGGGCCTCAGGCCTGGCCCTAGGACGCCAACCCAGCTCCTCTTGGGAGAATCTCACTGCTGGAGCGGATGGCCTGAGCCTTTGGTACCCCATACCCACTTTTTTTTATCTCAACAAGTACCCCCCAAAGGATTGAGCTGACATGGAGCCTGCTCCAGAACTGACAGGAAAGATGTCCCCTCAAGCTGGGTTCCAGAGACAGAGAGGACTGGAGATGAAAATTGGTGGAACGGGACCCCCCGTGAGCCAAAGACCCCAGGCCTTAGAGTCCTGGCTGACCAAACAGTCTCTGCCTCTCCCCTGCTGTGTGGCCTTGGCCAAATCACTTCCCCTCTCTTGATGTTGACCTTGGGGGGCTAAATGAGAATCCGGGGACACACGGAGGGCATGTTCAGGGAATGGAGGAAGGAGCTCCACCTTGTGCTATGCCCCTCCCTCCCGTGCCTGGCCCTGCCCCACCTCAGTCGCTTGGTTGCTCCCCCCCAGGGACTCCCACCCCCGCTCCTGCTATTTCAGTTCCTCCGGGCCCACCTATGGGACGACGGGGGCCTCACAGGCTGGGAAGAGGAGCCCGCGTGACCAAGCAGGCCATGCTAGGGCTGAGAAGCAGTGTGTCTCAGACCAAAGCACCCCCTTATCTGCTTCCCAGAGCCTGAAATCCCCCCACTGAATTGTCACCCCTGAGCTGTTTAAACGTGAGGGACCCTAAGTGACTGCTGGTGGCAGTGCTCAGGCTGGACCCCCCCCGACCTTCACCCCAAGGCTCGGTGTGTGACATCCAGGTGCTGCGGGCCTCCCAGACTCAGGGGCACAGCCCAGGAAGGGACTCAGGTCCCCACTTCTGTTCCCCCAAATCCCGTGGTCCGCAGAGCTCCGGGTGGTAGATCCTGAAGGTCCGGTCCAGCCACCCCAAACCTCTTATGAGTCCCAAGTCCCCGATGTGCCTCCCTTGGAGTCTGCGGATAGCCTGAGGATGGACTGCCCTGGGGCTGGGGAGTGGGCAAGACTTCGGGACGAGATTCTAACTCAGCCCTTGTGACTATGGGCAGGTCCCGGCCCAGGCCCCCAGCCCTTCTCTGTGAGAGGCACAGAAGCCAGTGCAAGCGAAGCACCCCTGGGGCCTGGCGTGCAGTGGGATCTCCGTGGTGATGGCCGTTCCTTCTGGTGATGGCGTGGCCTTGTGTCTCCTGCCCACAGATCCTGAACATGGAGGATGACCAGAACTGGTACAAGGCCGAGCTCCGGGGCGTCGAGGGGTTTATTCCCAAGAACTACATCCGCGTCAAGCCCCACCCGTGAGTGGACCCCACCACTCCGTCTCTGAGGCTCTCTCTCTCGCCATGGGACCCCCCCTCACTCCTGGGCCTCTGTCCATCTGTCTGAGGCCCCCAGGCTCCACAGAAGCTGCCAGCCTGGGCAGGCACAGGATACTGAGTTCTGAGGACTTGCTCAGAGTGGGGGCAGATTCAGGGCAAGCCCAGGCCTCCACCTGAGGACCTGAGCACCAGAGGATGTCCAGAAGGTCCCCGAGAGAGGACAAGGCCCTGGGCTTTCAGCTGGCTGGGCCACTGGCTGCTGTGTGGCCTCAGGCAGGTCCCTGCTCTCTGTTCCTCAGTTTCCGTATCTGTAACCCCAGGAGGGCAGACACTCCAATCTGTTCAGACTGTGGAGGGTTCTAGAGCTCTTGCTGAGAGCTGGCCCGGCCCTGGGCAGGGGCTGGGTAGAGGGCAGGCCAGGAAGCAGATCCTGTAGGCCCTGCCTTTAGGGTATCGGGGGACTCACATTGGCAGAGCAGAGTTTAGGACCAGGGTGGAGGGGGAGGGGGTAAAAATAAAGATAGGGCTAGGGTGGAGCAGGAGTTGGGGCTGCGGCCCAGCTATCCTGGGGCCTGGGACCTGCCAGCCTAGGGATGTCCCAGGTTGGGCTCTGGGCGGGTGACGGCCAACACTGCTGCCCTGAGAATGGCTCCAGAACAGGCATGGGGCCCAAGAAATCTATGCGAACTAATCAGATACACTTTAAATGACAGCTGAGGCACCCCAGAGACACAGCCACTTAGTCATTCACTAAACACTGGCCACAGCTCCAGGGGGCCCAGCCCAGGTGATGCTGGAGACACAAGGGGTCAGAGCAGCATGTTCTGGGGAGAAAGACAACATAAAGGTCATACCACACGGGAAGACAGTGAGCATTAAGGTGATTTCCCAGGGAAGGCTTCTCAGAAGAGGTGGCAATGAGTGAGGTTTTGAAGGATGTATAGGAGTTGGTTAAGTAGAAAAAGAGAAAGGTGTCTCTGGGAGAGGGTCAGGATGAGCAAAGGGAGAGCAATGAGAGAGAAACTGTGGTGTGTGGCACTGGCAGGAGGATCTCAAATGCCAAGCCATGTGGGGAGCCGTGGAGTGTTAGGGTAAGATTCAGTCAGATGTGGAGACAGGTGACAGGGCCAGGCAGGCTGGAGGGACAGTTTGGGAGCTGAGATGTGTGTGTGGCTGTGGGGTGGGAGAGGAAGGAGGTTCAGGGCCAGGGTGGGGCCTGACAGGTATTTCCTCTTTATCTCTCTTTAAGTTAGTTCCAAAGCTGCCACCACCTCCAGCTTCCTGTGCTGGGCGAGGCCCCTCCCACCCAGGTCCTCAGCCACCTGCCCAGGCCCCAGGCACTCCAAGCCTCCCCCACAGAGGCTGCAGCTCCCACTCTGCAAGCGGGGCTGCAGCCTGGGTTCCAGGCCCCGCTACGTCCCTTGTGGCTATGTGACATTGGGAGGTTTTTGTGGTCTTTCTGTCAATTAAAAGGGAGGAGGAGGGGAGTCTGTAAAGAGAGAGGGACAGAGAGAATCCGACCCAGGGCCACAAGCTGGAGCCAGGCCCCCAGGCCCCTGGAAGCCAAGGGTACATTCAGACAGGCCAGGCCAGAGGGCACGGCGGGGAGCAGTCTCCTGGACCGAGCTGTCAGGGAGGGGCCTTCAGGTAGAAGAAATGGCCTGGCAACGTCTGGAAGGCCGGCCCGCAGCTGCTAAGAGAGTCGCATTTGCTCAGGCAGAGGAGAAAAGATGAGAAAAGATGGCAGTGCCCTGCCAGGCCTGTTGCGGGGATGCCAGTGGTCGAAGCAAGACTTTAGCAGGGCAGTTGGGAGCCATGGAGGGTTCTAGCCTCCCATGCCTCTAGGGTCATCTCTGGCCACTTGTGTCTGGGACAGAGCGGGAATGGGGTCAGGCCCTGACTAACCTGCCTGAAATGGTGCCCAGGTGTGTCCTCAGCTGACCTCAGCACCTGCTCTGCTCCCAAAATAGCTATGGGGAAACTCCAGCTCCACACCTGACTCAGCTCATAAAGGCCCCAGGATGTGGGGGCAGAGGAAGGACTGGGGCCTCAGAAGTTCAGAGGTAGGCCTCATGCCTAGACCAGGCCCTCTCCTTCCCTGAGCACCCCCTCTCACCCCTGTCAACCCCAGGAGCCCCTGGGGGAGGCACAATCTACGCCAAGTGCTCCAGCGCGAGCCCCGTCAGCAGTGGCACCTGCCCCAGCCTCACGGCCTGTGGGTGTCAGGGATGGCTTCCTAGAGGAAGGCTGTGGCCCGCTGGGCCTACGAGTTCCAGTAGAAGTCTGCAGGGCAGGCAGAGACAAGCCTGGAAGAGCATGTGTGGGAGGAGCAGCAACACCCGCAAGCAGCAGCCCATTCATCCATCCTCCCAAGGCCCTCTGAGCTGAGCACCACCATCGCCATTTTTCAGATAAGCAGACAGAGGCACATAGAGGTTGAGTGGCTCTCCAGGATCTCACAGCTGGCATGAGATCGAGCAGGACTGCAGCTGTGTGGCATGGCCCTGGGCTGGGACGCCCTGGAGGGCAGCGGGGAAGCTCATAAGAACAGCTGTGGGGAGGCCAGGCACCGTGGCTCATGTCTGTAATCCTGGCACTTTGGGAGGCCGAGGCTGGCAGATCACCTGAGGTCAGGAGTTTGGGACCAGCCTGAGCAACATGGAGAAACCCCGTCTCTACTAAAAATACAAATAATTAGCTGAGTGTGGTGGTGCATGCCTGTGCAATGGTGCAATCCCAGCCACTTGGGAGGCTGAGGCAGGAGAATTGCTGAAACCAGGAGACAGAGGTTGTGGTAAGCCGAGATTGTTCCATTGCACTCTAGCCTGGGCAACAAGAGCAAAACTCCATCTCAAAAAAAAAAAAAAAAAAATGTGGGATGGGGAGAGTCCCAGGCCATGCACTTGCTATGCAATCTCATGGGGTGTGGGGGTGTCTCTGCCCCTATCTGGGCCTCAGTTTCCACATCAGTAAGACAGGGATGATTCTAGGTGGCCACAGATGTAGGACACTGGTGTGGGGGAAGGAGCCAGGCCCTGGGGGTTTCAGGAAGTGCTTTCTTCTTCCTGCCTCCATCTGTCAAACCATGGTGGGGGCGGGGCTTGCAGGGGATGTGGGAGACTCCTGGGAAGGTGTGATTGCGGCACTCTCTGAGGGAAGCAGCCACCCACATACTGATGCCGCCTGCGGGGTTTTGTGTGTTCTTCGAAGAAACCTGGCCCCTCAGGAAACTCCCGTCCTGGGCCACACTGGGCACTGTTCCAGGACGGAGCTGGGGGCTTCCTGGTGGAGGAGCTCTTGGCTGCTCCCCTCCCTGGTCACCCCAACCCTGGGTCCCCTGTGCCCCACTCCTGCTGCAGCCTGTGGCATTCACCTCCGGCCTTGAGACACCCAGGCTGGCTGGGCACCCGCCTTCAGGTCTCCAAATCCCAGAAGACCCAGGCCGGCTCTCCGGATGGTTGCCCCGAGCCCCACACCCAGTGGCTACCTTCCCCACATCCCCTCCCAGGAAGAAAGTCACCATGACAGGGCTGAAAGGCCCGTTCGTTTGCTGGCAGCAGTGGTCTAGAATCTTGTGTCCAGGGGATCGGGCTTTTCCGTAAACCATCGCTCAGACAGGGGCCTCGGAACAAGGAATTTATTTAGCCATGGGGAAGACGACGGGGAAGTGGGGAGCCAGTGGAGCATGCTGTCAGTGTCATTGCTGCTGGGGGCAACTGAAGCTCCATCCGGCTGGTGATCGCCAGCTGGAGACAGCACAGAACGTGCAGCTTGGAGTCATCCCTCTGGAGGGCCGGGTGCTGGGGCACCTACCCCAATGCCCCATCAGTCACCACTGGGAGTCAGACGGTTCCTGGGGGCCTCAACCTGCCCTGAATCCAGGCCAGGTATGTCCGTCACCAGAACAAAAGCCCCGAGGTCTGTGCTGAGCAGCCTTCATCCTGCGGAGGCCACCCAGGGACACAGCCAGAACACTATTGGCACTGGCACCGAAGCCTTCTGCACTCAGCCCGAGGGGTCATCAGCATCCGAGACAGCAGGAAAAGCCCCGCCCGGCTTCCACCACCTGCGCCAAGCTCAGCCTGACTCAGGGAGCGGAGCATTTGTGGAAGGAGTGAGGGGAAACAGTCTGTCATCGTCCCACCATGAGGCCTCCGGCTGCTCTGGGCCTCAGTTTTCCCATCTGAACAATAAAGGGGTCAGAGCCAAAGCAGGGCTAACACACTGGAGCTAGGAAAGCCTGTTAGAGACCAGCCAGTCCCTCCCATGGGGGTGTTTTAGTCCTGCAGGCTGCTGTTGCAGAAGGCCATCCGCTGGGTGGCCTGTGAACCACAGACTTTGCTGCTCATTGTTCTGGAGGTTGAAGTTCAAGACAAGGTGCCAGCTGATTCATGTCTGGTGAGGCTGTGTCTTTTAGCTGTGTCCTCAGGGCAGAGTGGCAAGTGAGCTCTCTGGGGTCTCTCATAAGGGCACCAATCCCATTCATGGGGGGCTCCAAATCACCGCCCAACCTCTAATCATGGCCCCACCTCTAAGTACTGTCGCATGGGGGATTAGGTTTCAATATTTGAATTTTTGGGGGACACAGAGTCAGCCTATAGCAGTGGCTAATTCCTGAAGAGGCCACCAGGCGCCACACAGCAAGATCAGCAGAACTGGAAGAGGAGTTTCACTTCCAGACCCTGGGGGTCTTGCAAAAGTCTAAGCATTTGCCGGGCGCTGTCTGTATACCCAGTTCTGTTTGCTCAGCAGGAAAAGGAACCTGGACCTGTGAAAAAATCTAGGTGGCCCGAGTCTGTGCAATGGGTACAGAGAGAGGTATTTCCTCACCAGATCAATGCTACTGTGATTTTTGTCATCTGTTTTTATATTTTTTGACTTAAGTGTTTTATAGGAATGGAGGTGAGGGGGTGTCTCACTGTATTCCCCAGGCTGGTCTCAAATTCTTGGCCTCAAGTGATCCTCCTATCTCAGCCTCCCAAGTAGCTGGACTACAGTCACGCACCACCAAGCCTGACTTATTTTTTGGCTTTAAAGAATCTGCCATCTCAAAGGGAAAGTGACACTGAGCTTGGCTGGGTTGTGGCTCACTGGAGTATGACTTTTCTGTTTCCATAGGGTATATGTTTACTGGTAGGATAGGCTGGCCTCAGGAGCTAAATGCTGCTGGGAGTGTGTTCCAGCTCCTGCCTGCCTCTGCTGTGTGATTTTGGATGTATTGTGTCACCTCTCTGTGCCTCAGTTTTCCCATCTGTAAAATGGGCGCAGTCACCTCTCCCTTGTCTCAGACGTTGAACGCCTGGCACATGGTGGGAGGCTGGCTGAGAGCCTGGTTTCCCATGGCCTTCACTGGCTCCCTCTCCACAGGTGGTACTCGGGCAGGATTTCCCGGCAGCTGGCCGAAGAGATTCTGATGAAGCGGAACCATCTGGGAGCCTTCCTGATCCGGGAGAGCGAGAGTTCCCCAGGGGAGTTCTCCGTCTCTGTGAAGTGAGTTCTGGCCCTTGGGGGTGTGTGCAGAGGACGGTGGGTGGGTAGAGGGGCAGCATATGAGTTGAGCCTTGAAGCCTGGGATGGTCTCATGGAATGAGGGTGGAGGGATGGCATCCTTGTAGAGGGAGAAGCCCGGGCAGAGGCCTGGAGACAGGCAGTGGTCTGGGCACCCCAGAGTGCAGCCCAGAGCAGTGGGGTGTGTTGGGAAAGCAGGCTCAGGCCAGCTGTGCAAGGCCTCAGGGTCCAGGCTTTATTCTAGGAGCACAGGAGCATCCTAGATTCTTTATCAGGAGGGGGCGATGTCCAGGGTGATGTGGATAGATACTGGGGGCAGGAGAGTGCTGAAGTGCCCAGAGCATGTCCAGGATGTGCTTGGGACAGGATCTCACCCTCTGTGATGTAGTTGGGAAGATGCACCCTAAGGCCAGGCTGCCTGGGTTCGAATGCTGCTTCTGCCACTTCCTGGCTGTGTAAGCTTGGGCAAGTCACTTACCTTCTCTGTGCCTGTTTCCTCACACGTAAAATAGGCCATTGCATGGAATAAATGATTTGGTATATTTAAAGCAATTAGAATAGTTCCTGGCAGGGAGGCAGGGAACATCTGGCACTGGATTAGGGGGGGTCCTCAGCCATGGGCAGCACGGAACCCCATCCCAAAGGCCACACAGGGGTGATGGAGGAATCCCGGCTGGAAGGTAGCAGCAGGAATGGGGGTAGGGAGAGACATGGTCAGCTCCTGGCTTATCGCTGTCCTTCCTGCTTTCAGGGCCTGGAAGAGTAGAATCTAGATGCATTAATTTAAGGAATATTTGTGGACTACGTGCCCTGTGCCAGGATGCTCTAGCGGTTGGGGAAACCATAGGGGAAAAAATGAAGTTGCTGCTGTTGTGGGTTTCAGTCTTAGTGAGTGAACAAGAAAACACATGAAGACAGAATGAACCAAGGTGGTCAGGAAAGGGCTCTGAGGAGGTGGCATTGCCGAAAGATCTGAACTAGGAGGTGGAGGCTTCCCAGGTGCCCCGGAATGAGGAGGACCTGGGAGGAGAGGCTTCCAGGCAAACGGAACAGCATTTGCAAAGACCCTGAGGTGGGAATGCGCTTGGGTTGTTTAGGAACCCAGAGGAGATGGTGTGGTTGAAGCAGAGTCAGTGAAGGGCAGGGGCTGAGTTCCAGCCACATCTAGTAATCATGGAGGGCCTAAAAAGAGGCCGGTTTTCTCTCAGAGTGAGAGAGAGCCATGGAGGGTCTTGAGCAAGGGAGAGATGTGACTGGACTCCTTTTTTTTTTTTTTGAGATGGAGTTTTTCTCTTGTCGCCCAGGCTGGAGTGCAGTGGTGCGATTTCGGCTCACTGCAACCTCTGCCTCCCTGGTTCAAGCGATTCTCTGCCTCAGCCTCCAGAGTAGCTGGAATTACAGGCGCCCACCAGGCTAATTTTTGTATTTTTAGTAGAGACTGGGTTTCACCAGGTTGGCCAGGCTGGTCTCCAACTGCCGATCTCAGGTGATCCAACTGCCTCGGCCTCCCAAAGAGCTCATTACAGGCATGAGCCACTGCACCTGGCTGGACTACATTTTTAGCAGATGCCTCTGGCTGCTGTGAGGAGAAAGAAGTGTTGGTGGGGGAGCATGTAGGGGGAGGGCGTGGCTGCAGAGAGACTGGTGGGGAGTCAGGCAGGAGGTGATGGCCTCTGGGACTATAGAGGTAGGGGCTGAGGGGACACAGAGAAGTGGCTGGGCCCAGGCGTGGAGGTGTGTGCGGGGCCACCAGTAATGCCAACTCTCAGGGTTGCTGTGGGCACAGAGCATGGAATGGAGGAGGCGCTCACCCTGCCAGCTCTTACTGTCACCATCAGAGTTAGGACGGGGTGGCAAAGAAGCCACCCAGAAGGAAGGAATGAAGGAAGGGGTGGCCTGAGAGAAGTGCAGCATGGCCTTTCATGACCTTCTAAAGGATGAAGGCCAGGTGTGGTGGCTCATGCCTGTAATCCCAGCACTTTGGGAGTCTGAGGCAGGCAGATCACTTGAGGTCAGGAGTTCAAGACCAGCCTGGCCAACATGGTGAAACCCTGTCTCTACTAAAAATACAAAAACTAGCAGGGCATGGTGGCGCACACCTGTAGTCTCAGCTACTCAGGAGGGTGAGACATGAGAATCACTTGAACCCAGGAGGCAGAGGCTGCAGTGAGCTGAGATTTTGCCACTGCACTCCAGCCTGGGTGATGGAGGGAGACTCTGTCTCAAAAAATAAAAATAAATAAAGGACAAAGCAATACAGGCCCGTGTCGACAGCCAACACGGGTTGGGTGTGGAGAAGGAAGCGTGACGGGCTTGGGGTCAGGGGATCCCAAAGAAGCAAATGAAGGGAGATTCAGACAGGCTGGGCCGTAATGGCCCATGAGGGCTCCTGCTGGGGGGAAAGCATCACCACCTGATGCCTTCCAGGCTCTGCGGGGTCCCTGTGGCTCCCCTGTGTTCATCTGGCCCATTTTATAACAAGCTCTTCACTGTGTGGGCTCAGCACATCTGCTGGCCCTGCAGGGTGGTGAGCTCCCCTGGACCGGGAGGCACCGAGAGAGGCAGGAGACTAGGGTCAGGAAGGTGGCTCATTTATTGTTGTGATAAAGGAACACCTAGCAGGGCACGGTGGTTCACACCTGTAATCCCAGCACTTTGGGAAGCTGAAGCAGGCAGATTGCCTGAGGTCAGGAGTTCAAGACCAGCCTGACCAACATGGAGAAACACCGTCTCTACTTAAAATACAAAATTTACCAAGTGTGGTGATGCATGCCTGTAATCCCAGCTACTCAGGAGGCTGAGGTGGGAGAATCGCTTGAACCCGGGAGGCAGAGGTTGCAGTGAGCTGAGATCGTTCCATTGCACTCCAGCGCAAAACCACATCTGAAAATAAAAAGAACACCTGAGGCTGAGTAATTTATCAGAAAAAAATGTTCATTTGACTTGGTATTCTGCAGGCTGTATAGGAAGCATGGCGCTGGCATCTGCCTCTGGTGAGGCTGCAGGTTTTATGCATGGTGAATGCGGAAGGGGAGCCGGCATGTCACAGGGGGAGTCAGGGGGCAAGTGGGGTGGGAGGTGCCAGATTGTTTTCAATGACCAGACCTTACTCATTACTGCAAAGAGCCACTGATACAGGTCTGTCCCATGACCCAAACACCTCCCACCAGGCCCCACTTCTAACTGGGAGTCAGGTTTCAACGTGAAATTTGAAGGGGACAAACATCCAAACCATATCAGGGAGGCAGATCCGACGTCTGAGGGGTCACAGCCCTCCACTCACCCCTCGCCCCCCCAATTGGTGGAACCAGCCATCAGCCTTGTTCCCTTCCCTTTTCTCCTGGGAGCAGACTGATGATCCTGAGGGTCAGGAAGGGCTTGTGCCCCCCTCTGAGCCTCTATTTCCCCATCTTAAAAATTCAAGCACTATCAGCATGTGCGCGCGCGTGTGTGTGTGTGTGTGTGTGTGTGTGCGCGCGCGCGCTGGAGGGTTACTGGCCCTGATTGCCCACCCCCAGGGTAGTGTAGGCACCTGGAGCCTGGAGTCCTCTCGGGACCGCCCCCCACCCCTCAGCCCCCACTTCCCTGCAGCCCCAGGGAGCCGCAGCTTCTTCCAAGTGTTGGCTGACCAGGGCCTGGTCATCTCCTGAGAATGGCATCCGCCAGGCGGCCTGGCCTGGCTCTGAGTGGCTCCTGGAACCAACCCCAAAGCCCAAGGTTACCCAGCAAAGTGGGGGCACAGGGGACTCAAACCATGCCTGGAGCTGGAGTTGAGGGGGAGGGGCTGGCCCTCCCTTAGCCCTCCTTCCTCCTCTAACAAATCATGCGGCCTCACGCTCTCCATTAGCGCCCCGGTGTGCTGCCCTCTTCAGGCGCCTCTCTGTAAGTGCAGCCACCTGTGCACACGCACGTGATCAGGCCTGAACACCCCAGGCTTATGAGTTTGTTCAGCACGCATTTATTGAGCATCAGCTGTGTGAGAACCACAAGGCAGGACTGGAACAGGAGAAATGGTCACAGCATGGGCCAGCGGTCTCTATGATGAGCAAATGAATAAATGAAATTTAGTGACAGTGGATACATTCCACATAGTGAAGGCACCAGAGAGGAGGTGACATCTTAGTTGGGCTCTAAAGCATGAGTAGGAGTTTGGTGCACAAAGAGAGTAGTTGATTTGCCAGGCACGGGGAACAGCATGAGCAGAGACCTAGAGGTGGGAAGCGAGGGGTGTGTTTGGATAACAATGTGTTTTCTGATCAGGAGGGAAGATAGACAGCCCTAGGGAACAGTTCTTGAGCAGGAGAGCCAGCACCAATGTTTCCCTGGAAGGGATCTGGAAGCATCCCTCAGAGAAATCCTGTGTCCTCCAGCCCCTTCCAAACCAAGGCACGCTGGCCAAGTGTGCCCAAGTCAGAACCATCAGGAGCTTCCTGGGCTCAGCCGGCTGTGGTTTGCACACAGCACCCACAGGTGGTGCCCTTGATCCTTGCTTTTTCCCTGCCTGGGCCTGGGCTCCTGGGTCCTGCTCCCACTCCGTCCATCCTCTGTCATGGGGCCTTTCAGTGGTCCTTGGACAGCCACCAAGCAACGGTCAGAGTAGGAAGCTGAGACTCACATGGGGTATGTGGCTAAGAGCATGACATTTTAAGCAGCAGTCAGCTCTGAAACCTGCTAGAGGCTGGCTGTATAATCCTGGGCAAGTTACTCCTCTGAGCCTCAGTTTCTTCATCTGTAAAATGGACAGCTATGTAGCATGTTTTGTGTGATGACTGGCACACAATAAGTTCCAGTTATCATAATTCTATTAAGCCTCCAAGGACCAGACACCATGCTGGGGAGGGATTAGAGAGCCCCTCCTGGCCTGGAAAGCTGCCCCCCACCCCCGTTCATGAATCCAAGGCTCTTAGAGAAGAGACAGCGGCACAGCGAGGCAGGGAGCCCAGACGCTGGGAAACCAGGTGACCCAATGGCCATCTAGGAAA